TCTCCTCTCCTCCTCTTTCCTCTCCTCCTCTCCTCTCCTCTCCTCTCCTCTATGCTGCCTCTTTCATTTATATTTCTTGTCCTCTCTCTGAGCTTCTGTCCCATCTCTTTAGACGTCTATCTACCTTACTGTCACTAGTTTTCCTTGTACCCTCCCTTACACCTTTCAAAGATTAATCATTCTTAATTGTAACCTTTACAATTATATTCCTTGTTTATCCTCACTAATCTTACTGAGTGACCTTTTCGGCGCTTGTCACGGTGTCTTAGGCCCCACGTCGTCATTCCGCTTCATCCTCCCGTCCCGTCCTGTCCTGTCTTTGTCGCCACTTCGCGCCTCTTGTTATCTCGGCGTCGGCCTCTCCCCCTATTCGCTTCCGTTGGCGCGGGTGTGCGGGCGAGCGGCGGCAGCGGGGCGGGGCGGGGCGGGGCGCTGGCTGCCCGCGCGTATTTATAGAAAGGTAAATAGCCGTGCGTTTTCCTTGGCCGGTCCCCGCTCCGCCCCGCTTCGCCCCGCTTCGCCCAGCCGACCGGGCGCGTCCCGCCTCCGCGAGATTTCCTCCCCCGACCGAGCGGGAGAAGCCTACACTTCACAGTACTCCTTGTCCGTTCGTTCTCGTCTCTTCTACCATTTCTGACTTCGCGATTGCATTACGTTCATTGTTGTCTCTGAGCATGTTTAGCCGCGTCAGGCGTTGGCATGACTCATTACATAGCTGACTCCATCTCCTGCACGAGGATATATTCTCGATTTTTTGTGTGGGTACTTTTAGTGTACGTAAACGTATGTTCTTAAGTATGCGTTGCAGACTCAAGAATTGTTTTAATAGATCTTGAATGCTGGGGTCTCAGCGCGAGCTAGGAAATGCGCAATCGATAGTGAGACAAAAGATAGATCTGGGGGTAAGTAGGGAGAGTCAAAATGTGTTTCTAAAAGTGGGATAGTACATACAAATAGTTTGACGTGTGGCGTCTTTGCCGGGGCAATAATTCAGACGTGTACATGTGTAATTTATTGAGTATTTATTTGAAATATGCTCCAACACCTGAATACTATTTACAATAATTACAATAAACATGACCCGTTACCAGAAGGAATGTTCCTGGTCTACACAATCGCTGTCCTGATAATTTGATATTATGTTTGGTGTGATGCGCCCGTTGCCCTACGTGCGCATACAAACGGGTATACCGCACCTCCCGCCTCGACGTAGCACGCCTGCGTTCCCTGCCTACTGAGTTCCCTGCCTCAGTAGCCTATGCACTGAAATGCCGCGCCGCGCACAACCTACACGACTTCCTACCGACGCGCCCAAGAATCAGAAGAAAGAGTTTAGGTCCGGGGTTCGCTCATATTACCTTCTGGGCCGGCTGACGGAACTGCGTCATCTCGGTGTTTCCGCCGACGCGTTTCCACAGCCAGCATGTTTACGGGGTTCACTTGTTTGCCCCAAGTGGTCAAAGAGGTTCACAAGTGGCCACCCACCACACGGCACCCCTTCTATTCCGCTCCGTAGGTTTGCCATTGTTCATGGCTAATAATTTGTCACGTTTGTACAAGGCGTTTGATATGACGCCACAGACGGCCTAATGTGCTTGCGATCGTTGCATTAGAACCGGAAGATGATTTCGGAAACTGAATTTTGTGATCAGTACGCTTCTCGTCGAGCGGAGAGTCGTAGCAAAAGAAGGGGTCTGGCAGTCGCACACGGAGTTATTTGTTGGTCGTCAGGTGAATAAGATGATCTGACTTAGATGGAGGGTATGCGTAAAGGTATTGCACTCAAAGTAATGAATTGCCGCATTGAATACTAGTACGCTTAGGCAGTAGTAATAAATTCTTTCAAGCCGGAAAATTTGGTAGTGATTTACTGAGTATGTAACTCTCATTACTCTGCGTTTCAATTTTCGGGTACTAACTTTGCAAAACCATTGAAGCAAAATACAATGTATTGTAGTAATTAATTCCTATATTGTAATATTCTCGTCACGTAAAATAAGGCAAATTCAATTCAATTAAATTCAATATTGTATTAATTTAATTCCTATATATTATAATATTTCTAATTGTACTGATATTGAGGGTGATTGTGTATTATACGGTGATGATAAAAAAGGAAGACGAATTATAACGTCCCAACTGGATTGAGGAGGAAATGAAATAGAAGAACCGTAACAAAGCTTCACTCACAGCGGAGGTGACAAACTGAAATTCCACGCGAAGTAATGGGAATTAGGACTTTAAAATCCAGAAGTGAAGGGCGCAGCTGATGTCTAATTGTAATTTTTTGTTAAAAATAAAGTAAATGAACGCGCTCTTTATTTGTCTCTTATTTTATTTCTAGTTTTAAAAATACTGTAAAATCACAGAATTGTAAAACGTTGTTTTTTCAGGATATGTACGCTGGTGAAAGTCAGCTGTTTGTGTTTTTCATACTCGAAAATCACAGCCTTGGATAAAATTTGATTAACAGTATTTCGGGTTTATTACCTTTTGTCCCAACTGTAACGTTTCAATCGACTTCGGGTTTCTGGCTTACCTGTTTGAGTGCAAGAAATGATACAAACTGTTTTCGCGTAGCTCGAGGATGCAAGCCATTGGGAGATAAGTTCGCTCTGAAGCATTTTCTCAGTCGCCGTTTTAGTTTTCAGAATGGTGTAGAATGTCACTTTTTTCTCTCCTTTTCGAGATGAACGTATACAGGGATGACAACAGTGTAAACGCGTACATCTTTTTGTCCAAGGCTGAGTTAACTGGACCTTGTATGGCAGGTTGTTCTTCTCGGGGAAAATGTAAATTAGCAGTATTTCCATTCCTTACATTAGGGAATGTCGACAAGTTGCCAAGAATTCGAGAAATTTGTAGATAAGTAATGTCTACGTTCAGAAAAGTTGCAGTCGCATAACTGCTTCAACATTGAAGTGTTCTGTTCCTAGAGTGAGAAATGAAATTGCTATTGCTCGTGACCGATCTATTTGTGAACTATTCGAACTGATAGGCTTTGTTGCTACTATTCCAATTTTAGCATTAATAATACTAATGCTGTCTTAGTATTCCACTAAGCAATACAAAGTTCCCTTGAAAGCCGTGACGAGATGTATCGAGAGATGCATTTTGCTGCATCGCATTTATTGAGTTGGTGACAGTATTCAGTAGAAGTTAAAATTGTTTTAATTCTTAAATTGGTTTTGTATTGTTCTTCTAATACAATTAAAGTAATTTGGCACCTTTTAGTCTTTACATGTTTTCATATTCAATGTATTTTCGTACTATTGTAAAATAATGTGACTCATTTGATACATTGGCCAGTTATTAACGCACTTTTCTTTTTTTACAGGTAAGTGTAAGCGGAATTATTGCCTGAAATATCAGCTTCATGGATGTATCGTAAGTGCGTGTCGAAGTGTCCACATTTGGTGCGCACCAGAATTTAATTAACACCTTTTCTTCCATGTTTTGGTAGAATATATTAGTATTAAAGGGGTTGAGTATTTACCAAATTCCGAATTAATATCCAAATAGATATTCCACACGAGGTAGCAAGCGAAATATGTAAATACGGTGTATTATACCTATAAATTGATTTCTTTTGTACTTCACAGCTTTTGCTTACCTTATTTACTTGACTGTCCGGGTGACGCCGCGTCCATGGCGATGGTGCCGACGTGTAGGTCGCCATTCTGCGACCTTCCTCAGGGCATAATGCCCCAAGGAAGGTCGCAGAATGGCGACCGAAACGTCGGCACCTTCGCCATGGACGCGGCGTCACCCGGACAGCCAAGTAAATACTGACTCCGGCCGCGGAAGCCTACGCTCTCATTTGCTTACCTTTCCCGCCCGTCATTATTTTGTGATCTTCCGAGAGCAGGAGCCGCCACTGGCCTCAAAGCAAGAGCGCGCCCGTTTCGTGGCGGAGTCGTTAACGCTCCTGGCGGCCGACGTCAGCGCCAGCGCCTGCGCGCCCTCCAGGTCCAGCGCCACTCGCTCTGATCTGCGATCTCCGGACCTCAACATCGGCGCCCAGTGGTCCCGAACGGAGCGTCGCCTCGGGCACATGTGCCTTCCATAGCTCACGTCGGGCGAAGGCGTCGTCTTTCTCAGAAACATTTTGTTTAAAGAGAATGGATAAAATATGAAGAGGTCAATGCAACAAAATTATTTCACGTCTTTACAGAAATAAAAATCTCATAATTTTCCAAAAAAGAAACATTATGATCCAAAAGCTGTGCGAACGTGCTCATAGAAATACGGTTTTTGTGAAGAAAATGGCCGTACATATATGCACTAGTTGAGACTTGGATATACAAAATCATAGTTTTATGTCTGGCACTCAAAAAACGCGGAAAGGGTGTAGGCACTACGTTTCTTCAACTTCTTCAGGCTGTAATTCCTTAGTAGGCTTTGATTATAAGACGTAGTGATTTGGAGAATCGCCGACTGATTAATTTCCCAATATTATTTCCTCTTAATAACCCCGAATTTTTGGAATCCATCGTCTTGTAGATGCCCAATTATGTAGATGACTATTTAGTTAAATCTTGGCTGTGTGTGGATGGGAAGGAGGAGCTCTGAAGAGCATGGTCTGCATGCCGGGGAGGTGTTAGAATCGTGTATAGCGATGGATGCTTTGATGTTTTTTGTGGCGTCGCTGAAATCCCAGACACCAGTACCTTCCGTATCACCTCTTTGCGTTTAATGGTACCGAAATGTCTTAGGCTTACCGCTATAACTCTTGAGCTAACTACTTAAAAGAGATCTATTGCGGGCTTAGGTACTGGCTCCGTAATCTCTAAAAAAAAATATTATGATGTATACAGACCTACGGTCTACGCCGGGCAATAATGTATGTCGAGGACCGAGATGGACCCAAGAACTACCTCGTTTGGGGAATTTTGGGGTATTTCTGTGGATCCGGGGAGCGGTGTGGTACTTCAGAGGCCCATAAATGTCTCTAAGGCGGCCAAATGACTCATCGGGGAGGGAATCGAACAAACCGAAAACAGCCATGACTAGGGAAGCGAACTCACGGATAAACATTTTTGTTTAACAAAACAATTCTTCAGAAATCATTCAATATATTTATTTATTATTTCCAATAAATGCACAAATTTACGGAAAATTAAGCAATCTCTAGCTGTCTGAGAGGGGTGAATAATTTTATGGAATACCAAGGAAGTCAGAAAATACAAAAACACTAAGACTGTTTCGATTTTGTCTGAAAAAATGTAAATATTTGATGTAGCTAATCCGCAATTCTTAATGTCCGATGTTACGACAATATTCGCATACTCGGTGCTTACAACGCAGCTGACGTCATGCAACGAAGAAAAGCTTCGTTGTTCACGTGTCCCGCTTTAAATCAGCCAATTGTTGCTCCTCCAGGACTCCATTTTCCACACACATGACAGCAGCATTTTGCTGCCCCAGGCCACTAGTTATAAACGTACCGAAATCCATGGCCATTATTCGTATCGAGATCCACCAAGAATTCCAATGCCAATCGACCACGGCTTCGGCGTGCACGGGGCCACTGTCGCAGGCGCTGTGGCCAGCGCGGGGAATTCCCTCAATTGAATCTGTTTGCAAAAGCGCCGCCTGCGATATAACACGGCGTTAGGTACCGACTTAATTATATTGGATCGATTAAATAACGCGATAGGAAGCTGACCCAATTCCCCCTCCCATACTCCCACTTCCCTCCCAACCCACAACCGTCGCCGCGGCCGCCCTCGTCGCCCCCCTGCCA